TGGTGGTAAAAATTTTTTTACAATTCAGATAACAATTAACATTTTGATCTACATTTAATTTAATTGATTTTATCCATAGTCTCTAAGTAAAATCTTCGAATCTTTTCTTTTTCTGCATAATTTAATCTAAAAGGCTAAAAATTTTCAATTTCTAGATCTCCAGAGAAAACTTTCATGAAATTCGAGTTTTTAAAGAAAATCGATACATTTATAACTTGTTCACTAGTTCTTTATTTCTAGTTGAAAAATAATTCATGAATTATAACTTTAATTAATTTAATTAATTTAGTTAGAAAGAATTATATACATCTTTTTTAATAAATCATTCCTAATCGCTAATATTATATTTTTTATCGTATTATTATCGTATATTATATATATTATATTATTATAGAAAAATTGAAATTAAAATTGTTACTCATTCTACTCAATTTATTCCTTATATTTTGATTTTTGATAGCAAATTAAATCGTATAAATACGAAAATAATGCAGAAAAAAAAAATAAAAAAATCTCATTTTTGATGAAAGGAAACTTAAACAAGCTATTGCTCTTAACGTGAAATTACATAATGTATTTGTTTATTTATAGGCGATTCACAAGTTGAATTTCGCTAAGAATTCTATTCGAATGAAAATAGAAATTGGGGAAAAGAATATTTTTCGAATGAACGATAAATATACTGTCTCTGATTTTTTTATTAACTTGTATATCTTGTTACATCATCTTGGAGATAGAAATTGCATAAACAATCTCGAAAATGATGTACTAAAATCATTCAGAATCGCATATGTAACAACATAAGTAAGTCTGACATTGTAAATTTTTCTCTTTTTGCTTTTCAAAACAAATGCAAAATATATTGAACTAGTTTTATTTTTTTTTTGTATAAAATTTTTGATGAAAAATAATGGAATCTTTATATTCATTATTAATTTTGTTTCTGAAGACAATTATAAAATCAATATTTATAATATATTTATAAAAATTGATTTATAAAATCAATTTTTTTTTATAAAAATTAACTTATAAAATCAATTTTTTTTTATAAAAATTGATTTATAAAATCAATTTTTTTTATAAAAATTAACTAAAAAAGAAATAACCGATTCTTAAAAAAAAAAAAAAAATTTAAGTAGAAATTTAATTTTTATCGGAAAATGAATGTACAAGAAATTTTTGACGATATATAAATATCGAGAGTATTGTACGTTAAAAATTAATAATCAAATTATTATTTTTTTTATGTATATATATATTTTTTTAATAATATTTTTCAATTCTATATTACAATTATAAAATATTTTCTTATTTTAAATTTCAAATTAATTCAATGGATGTCCTTTTTCGCGTCTCTGAATCTGAATCTTTTAACATATCTTTAATTACAAAATATTGATTGAACATATGCCAGATCACCCATCCTTTTAATATACGCATAGTTCGCTCGTAATCATACGTGTTCCCGGAATTCACGTAAATTCTCCATCTGTATGAAAATTCGTATAGCGTTGAGAGAGCTGAATGTGGGTCATGCGAATAACCTTTTGAATTGGCAGCAATCGTTCTGCTCTTTCAAAATCGATCGCGTTTCTCTATTAACGACAGATGAGCGTGAGTTTGAAATCCGGGCATCTTGAAATACGCGTAACGCGTGCCGAAAATTCGTGATTTATACGTAAAGCACGATAACTGGTTTTGATCTCGACGAATTTTCGACGCAAAACAAAATTGATCGACGCGTTTTATTTTTAATAGAATAAACGTTATCGATACATAGTTTGTAATTCATAATTTTTAAGAGATTGGAAAAAAATTATATTTTCCGTGTGTAAACTATTGCAGATATACGAAATAGAATTTCGCATTAATCAAAATGATTTAAAACTTGCCATTTTTCGATCTTATTTCATTTTTATTTTTACGAAATTATTTATTACAACGAGAATCCCAACCATTCTCTTCAATGTCTTTTAACACGCGATGCTTCGTTCGTTGCACAATTGTCATCGTTTGTTCCCGAATGAAATATCCATTCCAAATCTATAAAACTTTTTATATTCGTCGCAATGTATACGAAGCAAAAAGGTTTTCAAAGCGGTTCATCGGTTCTATTCCATTTCAGTTTCGTTTTTTATATCGATGCCAATTTTTATTACGCCACATTCCAAACTATGTTCTCCAATTTGAAAACACGATTTCTATTATGCGCAGTATATTTTTTGGTACTTTATTCGAAACATATAGAAAGGTGCAAATTTTCTTTTTTTTTTTTTTGCAATTTGCAAAGTGTGCTCTAGAGATGCTTAAAAACCATCAGTCGATAACGATATTTTTTTAATATTCGATACCTCGAATCGTTTATTTTCCGTCGAAATATTTATTCGAAACTATTTATTCAGAAGGTTGCAAAATCACTTTGCATTTGACAATAAAGTGTATTCTAGGAGAAAGATGCTTTAAAGCAATCGATAAAAACTCAGCTATATTCGAGACATTTTCGAATCCCGCTTGTTTTGATTGGAGGATTCATCGCGTTCCATCGCGTCGATACGATGCATCTCACAGAAGCGCATACTAATCCACAATTGACAAAGAATACGGGACCAAAACGGGGTTCGTGTCACGATTAAAAATACCAAGAAAGAAAAACACTTGATCGAAAGAATAATGTGAAATAATGTGTGTTGAACCTTCAATATTTTTCGTTTCGATCTAATAAATATTTAATTTACACGCTAATAAGTTTTATTTTTTTGAAATAAAATAAATAGAAATAAATACTTATGTTTAGTATCCGCTCAGACAAAATTTTTACTTCAAATTTTATCATTTTGGGATTTTTTTGGTCATTGAAACCGAAAACCATGACATTTTTCGTGGAAATTAATGATTTTTAAATAAATAAAAAATAGTTGAAAAATTTTCAAAATAAATCGATTCTCCACGAGAATATATTATTACAGTTGATTGTAAATCCTTAGTCGATATTTAAATGCGTCTGAATAATTTGTTAGTTTCTAATATTTATAATTTAGTTTAATCATTGTTAATTCGACTAAGAGTTATTTTATTTTTTAAATTGTTTTACGATCTTTCATCAGCTTATATTGGAATTAAAAACATTTTAAAAATGAAATGATTATTATTTAATTCACGACCCAAAAAAATTTGAATCAAAATTTAGCTTCAACAATACTATAATGTATCCAAAAAAATTTTTATCCCTTCGTGAGTTGCGAATAAAATGGAAATTATAAGAAATAATATTTCAATTATATTTTATTTAGTTAAACTTCAATTTATACAAAATTTGTTATTTTGTATTTACTATTTTGTAGAGTAGAATCTAAAAATATATTTAGATGGATAAGATAAAATAAAATTAAAAATTTATGAAATAAATCAATTATTTAAAGTTTAATAAATTATAATTGACCGTAAATTTTGGAAGATTATTTTATTTTATTGCAACAATCTAAATCCAATTTAGAATTCGTATTTTCAATTACATTCAAAAAAGAAATTATCAATCATTCGACAAAACAAAGAAACAAGCATAAAATATTATTTTCATTCGTTATAATTAGTTATCGACCGAAGTATTTAAGTACATTATATATAGTGTTTACATTCTCGTATTCATTACAGATATCTTTAACTTATCCCTTACTTTAGTTTGAAGAAAGGGAATAATGGGAGGATTGCTCGATGAAAAGCAATTTCATCTCGTTGCGTTAGAAATACGCGATTTATTTACATTAAACAGTAAAAAAAATTTTCTTTCTTTTCTTTCCTTTTCACAATTAAAACAAAATATATAAATATATTTGTGAATAAAGTATAACCTTATATTGGATTGATTTTTATGATAAAAATTGAATTTTTAATAATTAAATTAATTGATTTAATTTTAATCATTGTAAATATACAATTTAATTTTTTAATAATTTAATTGGATCATAAAAATAAAAAAAATATAGAAAATTTAAAAAATATTTTAGTATTTTTATATAAATTAATATTTTCTGAATTAACTATTATGATCTAAAAATATTTATAATCATTTGTTAAGTTAACAATAATTTCTGCCTAATTTTCAATTTCTACAGTGATAATACATAAACCTATGATTTCATTTAACTAGTTCCATTCTACGAAGCGTATTGACGGATATTGTCTATCTACGGTTTATATACTGTTTTTACATACTCTTTCTTGCGTATTCGAACTCTACATAACCTGTTGCGAAAATCCATATACTACACATACTAATGTCTTTCTATACAAACGCAAGCTGGCAAACAAATTTGACCTATAATATAATCAACTAGTAAAAACAGAACATGTTTTGAATGTAAAACGAAGTTAAAGAACGTTTTCGAATAAGGAAAATATATATATATAGATATAATCTTGTATAGATTTACTTCAAACAAATATGCATATTTTCTATTGATTAAATAAAATTCTTATTAATATCAAAAAAAAAAAAGTTAAATATAAATGTGATAAAAATAAGAAGATATCCATCTGATCACAGAAATCATGATTGATATTTACAGTGAATAAGTTTAAAAATATTAAAAATTTGTAATTAAATTTGTTTCACATATTCAACAAAAGGTGAAAAGAAATATATACATATATACTGCGTCATACAAATAATTAACAATACACTAGAACAAATTTTACGTAAAAAGCCAACATAATTTTTAAAAATTCATAAGACCATATTTTCTATTTACAATTGTTTAATATATCATTTCCAAAAATTCAATCCGATAAAATTTACTGTCAATTTCGACAAAATTTTATACATATATGATTTAATGGATGATTTTTAACGTTCGTTTATCTATATTTGAGAACAAACAAATAGATTTAAAAAAGCCGGTATAGAAAGGCAAACAGCGAAGCAACTAAACCCTAAATTCTTCTGATAATTACTCAAGAAACAAATGAAAACATGAGAAAAATATATTTACATGACCACATACCTGATTTTTCTCAAGCTTCAGCTTTTGTAGAGAAATAATTCAACGAACGAACGGTGCCGATGTTTCACGCCATGGATCTCCTTTGCAAGATGCTTCACTCACGAGCCGTGTGACACAGGAAAAAAGATATCACCTCTTTCTCTTCTTCTGTTTAAGCCAATTTTCCAGACAACTGGCCTCACTATTGAGATTGTTACATTTTCGCGTGCAAGACGATTCTATATCTAGGATTTTTCGATGCGGCGTCTCTGCTACTTGTAGAAGTGGTACGTGGCGACCCGGCCGGACGCGAACAAGATCCACTTCTTTCTTTCTTCCTTTTTTTCCTTTCTCGCTAGAGACACGCACACTCCAGTACGAAAGCTCGTTGACGAGTAAAAGCCCAACCACGGCTTTGATGATCGAGCCAGGATACACCTTTCGAAAGCACCGCGCAAGCTCAGACTGTTCGTGCGGAATCTGGTCCCCATAGTCGTGTTAAGGGTCGTGTTTCCTCGGCTATGTTCGGCCACCAATGATAAACTCGACCTGCAACGCGTTTCGCATGAATAGGACAGACTTGTGCTTTGTTATGATTACACATTGACGCAAAGAAAAAGAAAAATGTTACGGGAATGTTACCTTTAGAAATTCTCAAGAAATCCATAATAAGAATATGATATTAATGGTATTGCAATCGTATTATCCTGAAAATGGTATTTTGCAAAATTTTTTTACAAAATTGCTATGTTTTAATTTGTAAATAGAATTTATGAATAATATGTGATGCGGCCTATTAGATATAAATGTTCATTTACGTTTGAATTATAAATATTAATTTAATATATTTGATATCATGTGATATATAATTTAATTAAGTACAATGATTCGATAATAAATCAAGTTAAATTTATATATTTGAAACAATGATAGAAAAGATATTGATTTTTTACAAAAATGTCGAATATAAAGGTTAAATTTTAATAATACGATAGTTTCATATAAAATCTAATTTATTCTTATTTAAAAAATGAAAAATACGAATGACAAAAGCTATAATTATTAATTATTAGATAAAGTAAATAAAGATTGAATTATTATAAATTAGAAACTTTATTTATATTATATTTCTGAAGTAAATTGAAATTTGTTTAATATCGGCATTAGAGTATGTACGTTTCGATAAAATATTTCGATATTATTAATAGCATCTTTCGAGTATCGATATAATATAGAATTACGATATATCGATTGCTTCACAATCAAATCAGTTATCGATAATACTGTGTATTTAATCTATTAGAATACATAAAGTTAATTGGGAATGTAAAAATTGATGTGCATATTATTATATAATAAAATACATTTGAAATAAAATTCTTTTTTTCTATATTGTCAAATATGGACGAAATTGATAATCCTCCAACTGTAGTAAGCAATAAAACTTAGTAATATGTTAATTTATACTTAACCTATATTTTCTTTAATATTATTTAATCTTTATTATTTTCAAAAATAAAATCATATCATAAATTTATAAACAATATTTTTTTGTAAAAGAGAGACATGATAATATTTTTATAATTCTATTTTGTATTCTAATTATTATACAAATATATTTAAATTAAATTATATCATTTCATTCATGATATAGTTTCTTAATTAAATAATAAATAAATATAATAATTTATATTATATTTTTAAAAATATATTAAGAAAAATATTTTTTGTTTCTAGGATATTCCAAATATTTCTAAAGATCATCTTATTGCTGGAAGATGGATAAATAGTAATAGAATCAGTATATATACTACTAAAGTTACAAAAGAAAAAAGTTCAAAGAAATATGACTCAACAGTACATATGTTAAAACCAGAAGTAATTTTATTTTCACCACAATTACGTAAACTAGTAAATGAAAGTAATGGTGTCTTTTTGTCCATTAAAAAACTTAAATCTTTTTCTGGGGATATTAGACTTGAACTTTTAAAACACAGTAAACAATACAGATCTATCTTAAGAGCATGTATAGAAAGTTTGCAAGATATATGTGGAAAATGTCTTTCTGAAAAAAGAGAATCATTAGAAAATTTCTTGACCATTTTTTATCAAATAGAATGTGTATGGCACTTAGTGGAAATTCTTTACGTAGATGTTATACCAGGTAAATTATATTAAAAATAAAAAAATATATGACATATTTATATCAAAAAATTCTAATATATAATATTTTAAATTTAGGTGATGTAGTATTACCACAATTGTTAGAATGGATTAAATTTCATTTTCCATCTAGAGAACTTATAGCAGTTAAAATATTAGCTCAAAAGACTATTGGTGCTGATTTGGAATATCCAAATTATTGGGAAATTGTAATAGGTTGTGCATTACATGGAAAATTAGATTTAGTAAGAGCTTTATTAGCATTACATAGTAAAGCAGATCATCCTGCTTTTGTAATGGCAGAAAATGCTCTTAAAACTATGCCTGTATATAATGTATATGGTGGTTATTCTATAAATGAATTTACTTTGTGTTGGAAACATTGGCAATTAGATTTATGTTCAAATTTAAATAGTAAAGCTTTTGTTATTGATACTAATTTAGAAATGATTATGAAGGTATTTATAATAATATATAATATTAAGATACATATATATTTAAAAATAAAACTCTCAATAGTTATTCTCATCATTCATATCATAAATATAATAAAATAATAAATTTAAAAAAAATAAAATAATAAATTTAATAAAATTATTAAAAACATTTAATATAGTTAATTGCAGGAGAACAAGATATATTGTGGCAATTTTCACAATATACAGATGCTTGGTATGAATTATTGGCAGCAAAATTATTTTATAGTTCTCCATGTTGTAAACAACCTGAGCTTTCTCATCATGCTAATAATATTTCTAAAAGATGGCAAGCTAATAGACCTTCTGATAATGCTATACGTGCTTTGATGGAAAGTAATTTACATCTTGTTATTAAAGAAATACAATATATGGGAGATAATGGATGGTTTGCTGCTCATTTGGTAGATTTATTATATATTTGTGGAAAACTTAAAATATTAGATGAAGATCAAATAGAGTAAGTTATTGTATAATTTATATTATATTTAACAAATCTTGAAAATAACTTTTATTTTTTAAGAGTCAGTAATCAGCTTCATGAATCTCTTATATTGGAATATGGTAACACATTAATGGGACATCATTCTTTGTGGCAATGTGGTGCAAGTTATTTGATACATTGTCCTACTCAAGGCTTAGCTAGACTAGAGATATTGTTACAATCATTACCAATGGGATCAGAAGCAAGAGTAAATAAAATTTTAGATATAGCACGAGATAATAAAATGAATCATATAGGTTAGTATTATTTTTTAAAATATTATTTAATGTAATGTAAAATATGTATATATTTAAAAAAAATTTTTTTTTTAGTTACTAGTATTTGTAAAATTCAAGGATTAAAATCTATGAAGCAAGGAAGATTAGGAAATGCACTTGCATGGGCTTTAAAAGCTCAAGATAGTATTTTTATAACATACATTGCAGATCAGTTTTTGAAACGTTATGTAGAATATGGAAAATTGGATTGCCGTGATTTATTAGAAAATTTAGGTTTTTGTATGATGGCTAGTGATAGACTAACATTTTTAGGTAAATCAATTTTAAAACATTAAAATTTTTAAGAATATTTAATGTCAATTATAACTTTTATTTTATTTTTTTATAATTAGGAAAATATTGCGAATTTCATCAAATGTATGGTATTGGAGAATTTAAAGAAGCAGCAAGTTTATTAGTGTCTCTTTTGGTTTCAAATTTAACACCGAAATAGTAAGTTTTAAATATAAATATATTTTAAATTTAAATTAAAAATTAAAATTATATTTGAGAATATTTGTTTCAGTTTTTGGTCGATACTTTTATCAGATGCTATTCCTTTATTGGAAGCCAAAGATGTAATTTTGTCTTCCAATGATTGTTATGAATTATTACGATGTGTAGAAGCGCATGGCGATGATCCGAAATTTCAAAATGAAATTGATATCTTCCGATTAGCTGTTGCTAGAAATCTAGCTCGAGCATTGAGTCTTGAAGGCTGTCAAATGAAACATTAAAATGTTTATTATCAATTTATAATGTAAGAATTTTCTAATTTTTTAATTAAAAAATCTTTATATATAATCTTAGTATATCCATTAAAGTATTGTATATCCATTAAAACACATACATATATCTTTTTTATGTATATATATTGATTTAAAAAATTTTAACTATATATATTTTATTATCATCAATATATATTCAAGTATAAAAATCTTGAATACTTGACAATACTTGACTTGATATGCACATAAAAATTTATTGGTTATAATACGTATGATATTGAGACTAAGGTCTATTTATAATTATTATATAATTAAGGTCTATTTGTAATTAATAATTAAAATTTTTGTATTAAAATTAAATAAAGAAAAATTAACTTTTGAATTTTTTTAAGATAAATGTAACATTAAATAATATTTATATATTATATATATAATATATATAATATAATATAATATATTATATATTATATTATAAATGAAAATTTGTTATTTTTTGATAATTTTTCCACAATATATTCTTTTAAATATATTAAAATTTTAATATTTATTATATTATAATTTTCTAAAATAAATAAATTTTTACACATACATAAATATTTATTACAATGTTTTTTATCTTTAAATTAAAATATATATTACTATAAAAAAAGAAATTAATTTATACTTTGTACATATATATCAGAATTATATAGTTTATTGTAATATTCAAAATAATTAATCAAAAAAATTGTTTACTTCATTTATAGTTGTTTAAATGAAATGTTTTTATGATAATAAATCATATAATAAATATAATATCATAATAATATGGCATTATAATATAATCAAATGAAGAGAAAGATCAGTAATCATATTATGTAATGAGAAACATAATACAGACAATTTTACAGACAAGATATAATATAGATCTATCATTCAATTTTATAATTGTTGTAAATAATTATAATTATTTTTGGATATATTATTTTTAAAAAATTTTTTCTTTAAAAAAATTCAAAATAAAACATTTTATAAATTTACAAAAATATCATTGTATTCTTTAAAATATTTTTACTATTTTTTTTTAATATTTTTTTACTATTATTTTTTTTACTATTTTTTTTTAATATTATTAATATTATTTTACATATAAATCTTTTTAAAATTAATATGAAATGAAAAATGAATGCAAAACGAACAAATTTATGTAAGTATATAAATGTATTCCTTATTTATGGAAAAAATAAAAATAATTCAAAGTAGAAGACAAGTATGTTTTTGTACATATTTATATAATTCTATTATATAGTA